AGTTCACTCTAATTACCTGAGGCTTACTCCTCTTTGCAGTTTTCCTTTTTTCAAATCTGACTTTGTGTAACTCCGTGGGGCTGTATAGTTCACAAACTGTATAGTTCAGCACTACTCTCTGGTTGCTGATGACAGGGCAGAAAGACGGTATTTATTGATGACATTGAGGCTGCTCTTCCTTGAGGTGTAGGTCAAACTCTTGTGAAACTTCTTGAAAGTAACTCTGTTTGGGGAGGGAGTGGGGGCAGAGCTCACAATAACATGTTACATAAAGACCAAATCAAACAGATTTCTGGAGTTTGTTCTTTTGTCATTAAAGCTGTGGACTAGGCTGTTGGTTTGTTTCGCTGCCAGATTTCTACTTATAATTGACGAGATTTTGTATCTGTGTTTCTGCCTTTCTCACAGGATCCTGTGATTTCAGGGCAGTCTGGGGAGTGAGTACTGTAAAGTACAAGACACTAGGTTTGCGGAGTCAGGTCCAATCGAGGTGTTTGACATTAATCTGGAACAAAGGTATGTGCAGGGTTACAGGTGGGGCCTGGCATTCGGTGAGTTACTCATTGAGCCAGTACAGAGGCAATGGGATGAATGTGCTGTAAAAATTGAGAGAGTCTATAGGTGCAACAGGGTGAGTGTCTGTGGCTGCCTGGGATAGTCTGTGTGTTTGTAAATAGCTGTGTGAATGTGTTTGTTACCCACAGTTCCTCATGTTTGTCCATGTTCCTGCTTCACAGGCAATGTGCTTTGTGTCAGCAGCAGCTGACTGAGGGAAACATGCCGTATCTGCATGGATTCCGCCGCATCATCTTCGAGTACCAGGCATTGGTTGATGAAATCCTCAAGGTTGTGGAGTTAGAGGAAGCCAGAAGAGAGCCAGGCACTGGAAACCCAGGAAGGTGAATTTGAGGGACTGTAGGGTAACTTGGTGACTCAACCTCGACAGGCCTCTGCAGGAAACAGTTCCACAGACTGACTCCCCTCTGACAGAAGAAATTCCTCCCCATCTCTGTCTTAAATGGACAGCCCTTTATTCTGAGACAATGCTGTCTGGCCCTTGACTCTCCCAAAAGGGACATCATTCCCTCACATCTCCCCAGTCAAGTTCCCTAAGAACCTTGTATGTTTCAACAAGGTCACCTCTCATTCTCCTAGACACCAACAAATGTGGGTCAAACCTATCAGTCTCTCCTCATGCCTGGAATCATCTGAGTGAACCTCCTGTGGACTGCCTCCAATGCCAGTACCTTTTTCATTATCACAGGAAATCACACTACACCAGGTTATAGTCCAACAGGTTTATTTGAAGACACAAGCTTTCAGAGCCTCACTCCTTCTTCAGGTTTCATTAGCTAAGGGCCCAATACTGTTGACAGTACTCCAGCTGTGGTCTGACAAGTGCCTTGTATAGTTTTAGTAAAACCTCCCTGTTTTTATTTTCTATTCTCTCTGAAATAAAGGCCAACGTTCCATTTGCCTTCCCTACTCCCCACTGAACATGGCTGCTAGCTTTCTGTGATTTATACACAAAGACTACCAGATCCCTCTGTGCTGTAGCTTTATGCAGTCTTTCTCCGTTTAATTAATATTCAGCTCCTCTATTCTTCCTGCCAAATAACATAACCTCACATTTTCTCACATTCCATCTACCAGGTTTTTGCCCTCTCCCTTAACCTGCCAAATCCCTCTGCAGACTCCGTGTGCCACCCTCACCACTGACCTCCCCACCTGCTTTTGTATCATCTGCAAACTTGGTAATAGTATCAGAGATAGTAGGAACTGCAGATGCTGGAGAATCCGAGACAACAAGGTGCAGGGCTGGATGAACACAGCAGGCCAAGCAGCATCATAGGAGCAGATTGGCCTGCTGTGTTCATCCAGCCCTGCACCTTGTTGT